AATTTCCTCACCTCCTGGAACTCAACAACTTCTTTCTCCTTCTTCTTCAACAGTTCATTGTCTCTCTTCTCTTCCATCTCTGTTAGTTTTGCCATTATGAATGTTCTGAATTCTTTATCAGACATTTCCATGAATTCCCATGAACTGTGTGTGGATGAAGACGAGTTATCCTTTTCCCTTGGAGCAGAGGTATTTTCCTGCTTTCCCATATTTCGTGTGGTCCTGCAGTGATTTCTAGTCATCTGGTTGATGGTCAGTTTCTTCCCAAACTTGGAAGTTCAATCTGAGTGTTGAGGAGCTTGCAGAAAAGGAAACAGAAAGAGAGAAATAACAGTAACAACAGCAAAATAAAACAAGAAAAAGAGAAGAAAAAAAAAGAAGATAAAACTTCTCAATACTACTTAAAAAATTAATGTTTTAAAAAATTTCAGTAAAAAAAACCAAACAAACAAAAATTGGAAAACCGCGCGGTGTGCAAGCGCGCTGCACAAAATTCTAAAAAGCAAAAATTGAAAAAAAAAAAAGATGAGACAGAGACCCAGACAGAGGTAGAGAGAGACAAAGACAGGTACAGAGACAGGAGGCCTGGAAGGGGTCTTCCTACCACGTGAGTTTTGTGTGCTGGAAGCCAAATTATCAGTGGGAAGTCTTGATTTCTGTTCCCCCCAAATGACTAGTTTGCAGAATTCATGAGCCCTATTGATTTTACTCTTTTTTTTCTTCTTCAGAAAACAGGGCTTTTGTTTCTTTTTAATTTTTTTTTTTATTTTTTATTGCTTTCCCATTTCAATTTCATTGATTTCTGCTCTAAGGTTTCTTGTCTTTTGCTTACTCTGGAATTGATTTACTTTTCTTTTTCTGGTTTCATGAGGTACAATCTTAGATTCTTATTTTAGATATTTTTTCTCTTCTTTTTAAAAAATCTCTGGTTGGATGTCTGTGCTCTCTGGGGAGAGACAGAGAGAGGGGAAGTAAAAAAGCACCCCCCAGAGGGTTTGGCCACGCCACAGTCCCTTCTTGTTCTTCTGTCAGGATTTTAGGCAGACACGCACACGTGCCTGGTATGTTTTTTAAGCTGCTGGGTCTGAGACTCGAACTGTGCAGTCAGCTATGTTAGTATTCAGCCACCCTAACTACCATGTCTCCAGCTGGCACAGATTTTTTCTTCTCTTCTAGTACAGACATTTACAGTTCAATAATAAGAAAATCTAATTGTTTATTTTACCTTCAATTATTCCCTCTTTGATTCTCTTGTTTCTGTAGATCTGAGTTTGTCACCTTATCACTGCCTTCTCTCTGAAGGAAGATAAACGTTTTTTGCAGTGCTTGTCTACTGGCAGCAGTTTCCTATATTTCTTTTTTTGTTTGTCTTTATTTCTGCTAAAGTTTTGAAGGATTATTTTGCATGGATAGAATGCTAGGTTGGTAGCTTTTTTTCTCTTTAACTCTTTAAAGGTTTCCTTCCACTCTCTAATTGTTTGCTTGGTTTATGAGAAGTCAGATATAATTATTTATTTAAAAAATTGTTTATTTAATTTTGATTATTATTGTTATTTTAAAATTTGACAATAGAGAGAAAGAGAGAGAGAAAAAGATAAAGGAAAAGTGAGAAAGCAAGACTCCAGGTGCAGGAGTTGAACTGTGGTTGGCCATGTGGGAGTCCAGTGTTACCACTTGCTGACCTCAAGCCAGTTATAATTCTTATCTTCGTTGCTCTATAGTTAGGATTTCCCCTCCCTGCCCTGGGGGGGAGGTTCTCTGAGTGTGTATGGCTTAACTTTTATTTATTTATTTATTTATATTTTTAAAGGATTATTTTATTTAACATTATTTATTTTCATTTTACCAGAGAGGGACAGAGAGAGAGAGAAAGAGAGAGAGAGAGAGAGAGAGAGAGAGAGAGAGATTTTTTTTGAAAGCGAGAAAGTGAGCCTTCAGGTCTGGGACTTGAACCATGGTCAGCCATGTGGGAGTCCAGTGCTCTTAACCAAGATGCCACCTGCCATCCCCAACTTTTTGTTTTTTGAATAGCATAGGGCACATGTGCATGAGAGAGAGAGAGAGAGAGAGAGAGAGAGAGAGAGAGAGAACCCTATAATGGGGCCTGGTCATGTTGCAGTTTTTCCTCTCAGTTCTTCATCTTGCTGGGATTTGAGGTATGCATGCATGCACCTGATGTGAAGCTGATGGTGCTGAGATTTGAACCCTGGTTGGCCATATGGCATCCAGCTTCTTCTGCCTAGTGCCTATCCACTGCACTATGGACTGACTGTGAAAATTTTTAAAAAAAGTTGCTGTAGGGTGCATGTGCTCGTTGAAGAGAAACAGGATGGAGTGGAGGGAGATGAAAGCACCCTCACCCACCAGAGGGATGACCATGCCACAGTCCCTTCTCTTTCACCATCCTCCTGGGATTTGGGGCATGCATGCACATGTACCCAGAGTGTTTTTCAAGGCACTGAGTCCGGAACTTGAACCATGCAGTCAGTCATTTGGGATCCAACCACCTTAACCACCATGCTGCTTGACTGGCCCTGAAGATTTAAAAAAAAAAAAATTTGACTATTTTTCCTTTTTTGAAAGTTAAGATGATATTCTTAGGTTTCATTTTGAGATATTTATCTTTTTATGTGTTCTCTGAACTACTGGTCTGTGGTTTGGTGTGTAACATTAATTTGGGGAAATTTTTAGGCATTATTGTTTCAGATATTTCTTTGTTTTTTTCCTCTCTTTTTCTTCTTATGGTATTACCATTTTCTTATGTTACATATTTTGTAGTTCTTCTCAAATTCATTAATATTCTTTTTTTTTTTAAAGTTTTTTCTTTCCTCTTTGCTCTTTCTTTCTTTCTCTCTCTCTCTCTCTCTCTCTCTCTCTTTTTTTTTCCCTGTAGGATGCGTGCACTTGCCAGAAAGACAGAGAGAAACAGAGACAGAAAAAGAGAAATCACCCTCCAGGGGGAATGGCCATGCCACAATCCCTTCTTCTCCATTCTCCTTTTGGGATCTTGGGCACACACACACATGTACCCACTGTGAGTTTAAGCCACCGGGTTAGGGACTCGACCCGCAGTCAACTACATGCGAGTCCAGCGATATAGTCATTTCGCCAACGCTGGTCCCTGAACCTTTCTTTTAGTATAAAATAAATTTAAGCTCAGAAATGCTTCCTTTTCCATTTCCAGTTTTCTAGGGAGCCCATCAAATTCATTAGTCATTTCTCTTTCAGTGTTTTGTTTGCTCATTTCTTCTACTTGTTATTTATTCCATGTCTCTCTTTTTTTAAATTTTTATTTTTAAGAATTATTTTATTTAACTTTCTTTTCCTTTCCTTCCCTTTCCTGTCTTGTCTTGTCTTGTCTTGTCTTGTCTTGTCTTGTCTTGTCTTGTCTTTTATTCACCAAAGAGGGACACAGAGAGAGAGGGAGAGAGAAGGAGGGAGAAAGCAAGCCGCCTGGTCTGGCACTTGAGCTGTGGTTGGTCACATGGGAATCCAGCGCCCTTAACCACCACGTCACTTGCTGGCCCAAATTCCAGGTCTTTCTTCTACAGAGAAAGAGACGGTTTTGGTGCCATCTGCGACTCACCCCTAGCCTGAGTTAGCCATTTTGCTAGTTTGGACTGAGTGACACTTTCTAAGCACTTTTTAGAGTGAACTGGGAACTGGAAGCCCTGTGTGTCTCTTCTGTTAACTTATTCGATGAATTTTGGGTTTAATTTCCTGTTTATTTTGTTACTCTATCATGTATAAACCTTTACCATATATATAGTCAGATCTGACTATATTTTTTCTTTAATTCTTTACTTAATTTCTCAGTAAATTATTTTTGTTTCCCTTATGTTTTTATTTTGCTAGAGAGCATGTCTGCTCTCCAGAGAGAGAGAAAGAGAGACAGAGAGGAGAGTTAGAAAACACCCCCATGGAGAAAGGTCATGCCACAATCCCTTTGCCTCCATTTCTCCATTTCTTTGGAATTTTGGATATGTACCCAGCACGTTAAATTTATTTATTTATTTATTTAGCCATAAGGCATGTGTGCTCGCCAGACAGACAGAGACAGAGAGGTAGAAAGCACCCCCCAAGGAGGATGGCCATGCCGCATGCAGACCCTTCTCTATTTTCCTCTCGAGATTTTGGGCATGCATTGCACATTTGCCCAGCATGATTTTCAGGCTGCTGGATCTGGGATTTGAACTTTGGTAAGTTATGTGAGAATTCAGTGCCTTAACCAATATGCCACCTACTAGTCCCTAGATTTATTGTTTAAAAGAAATATTATAGAAAGTTGAGATCTCTTTTACACTGTTCTTTCTTATTCTATTACATCCCTCTGTAGAGTTATCCAAATAGGGGTGAATCCTGCCAGCCCAGGAAAAATTTCATATTTTTATATATGTGCACTTATATATTTTGAGTGTCTAAATTTTTATTAGTGATGACACTGGGCTTATCATTCAAAGACTTCTATTTTAAATCTTGTATTTTAAGTATTTAATTTGTACTTAAGATTTTAAATTATTTTTTTTCTAGGTAAAATTTATTACCTTACTCTAGACATACTTTATTTTGTACTTAACATTTTGATATGTGAACTTTGTTTGAATATACTAACAATTAGCTTTGGCTTATAATTGTTTGATTACATGTAGGTTTGCATATCAGGATATTTATATTCTTGACATTTCACTTTTTGAAACTCTTTGACTTAGTACTTGTGTAGTATTTCTTTTGCTCATTTTGCATGTGCTCAATCCTGCTGTGTTGATACCTTTTTTTTTAATCCCCTCCAGAGATGCGTGGGAAATTTAAAGGTAGAACAGGGATTCTGACTTACTTTTCAGATCTGAGTTAAGTATTTTTTTCACTGTCTAGGACGTATAGTCTGCCATGTGGGAATGTATTTTGAATTTACTGGATTCTTACAGGAATATCTGCTAATTTGGGCTTATAAATTCATGGGGATTTATTAGAATCAAGTATACTATAATTCTGTTTTGCAGGGGTTCACAACCAAGTAAGACAGCAGAAAACAATTCTGCAAAGCGGGCTGCACATTCTAAAGAAAAGCGAAGAGATGCCGATGGGATTTCTCCTGTAATGTCTGATACCCAGACTAAAGGTTTGTGAACCTTAGAACTCTGTTGGAATTTGAATTATTGCTTATTGCATTTTCAGTAATTTTAAACTTAAGAATAAATAACTGTATTTCATTTTACATTGGAAGCATATATAACATTAAAAGGGAGATTATTTAGCAACAGAAAAGAAAATTGCTAAACCTACCATTTATATAAAATAGTGCATTTTTTTTGCTAAAAAGAATGATTTGTTTATTTAATTCAGTTTGTTATTATTAACATTTTTAATTTGACCAGAGAGAGACAGAGAAAAAAGAGAGAGAAAGAGAGAAAACAAGCTGCCAGTCTGGGGCTTGAACCATGGCAGTCAGCTATGTCAGTCTGGCACTTCAGCCAACACGCTACCTGCTGGCCCTTTAAAAAAAAATTTTTTTTTAAAAGGTATTTTGCCATAAGGCATACGTGCTCACCAGAGACAGACAGGGACAGACAGTGAGAGGGAAAGTAAGAAGTCACCCCCCCCAGGGGTGATGGTCACACTGCAATCCCTTTTCCTCCATTCTCCTCCTGTAATTTTTGGGCAAGTGTGCACCTACGTTGAGTGAATTTCAAGCCACCAGGTCTAGGACTTGAATCATGGCTGACCATGTGGGAGTACAGTACTCAAACACCATGCCACCTGCTAATCCCAGTACACATTTCTTGATCTTTATTTTTTACTCCCAAAAGTTAAATTAGAACATTGTTTCTTTTTCTTTTCTTTTGTGGAGACTAAGATTAAAGATAAGTTATAATGTTAGTTTAGCTATTTTTTCTGTTGTTTCCATGGATATTGCTATTACTACTGAATTTTTATTATTAGCTTTTCACTCCATTGTCCTACCAAGAAATACATCATCTATTCATTAGAATTTCTCCCTTAAAAAAAGTTTCTCATGACTCTAGGAGAATGCCAAAACAAACCATTTATTAGCAAATTTGAAGGTAAATACACCCCAGACTTCAGAAAAATCTTTATACCTTTTTGAATGCAGGGTTAATGATTTGATTTCTTTTCTCATTTTTGTCCCTCTCATAAGATAAAAAACTTTATCAAAATTTAAACAAATATTGGGACTATCAGTTAGCATAATGGCTATGTCACTGGACTCCCATGTAGTCAACCGCAGCTCAAGTCCCGGACCCAGTGACTTAAACTCACGTGGGGTGCATATGCGTGCGAGCCTAAGATCCCTAGAGGAGAGTGGAGGAGAAGGGATTGTGGCATGGCCACCCTCCCCTGGGGGGGGAGGTGATTTCTCACTTTCTGTCTCTCTCTCTCTGACTTTCTGGCGAGCGCACACGCCCTATAGCAAAAACCTCTCAAAAAATTTTAAACAAATATTATATTCATTTGTGAAGGTAATACCTTCAGGGGCTGCCGGGGTCCAGCCTCGGCGGGCGTGGGTTGACCCGATGGAGGTAGCGCTAGAAGGAAAGACTGAGGCCTCGGTGCCTTTTTTGTGCACGTCCTGAGTTGGACACTCTCAGAGGTCGCTCTCTGAAGAGTGACAACTGCTAGGAATCATCATGTCTTTTCATTGAAAATGTGATACATACATGCAAGTAAACGGATGAGGGGCTACGTGTTTTAATTATTAATTCATCAAGTTTTAACAATAGGGATCATAAATTTAATTTAGGATTTGATTAAGGGCAGGTCTATTAATCATCGATACAGTTCAACAATTGTTTGATTGATGTAAGCAGTTTTTTGGCAACTTCAGGGAGTGCAGTTTTGGGAAACAGCTCCAGTAAACAGAGTTAATTATCAGCCGATGTTCGGCAGCAGCCGTCTTGTGATTACTGACTATGATGCTAAGAAAAGAAAATCTCAAGTATAGGTAGTAGGCCAAAGACTTTTATGTATTCAAGAACTAGCCAAAAGTTTTTGAGGATATTATTTGGAGAAAGTCCTATGACTTTGTAAGACAAAATTTCTGTTTAAGTCACTTAATACTGTCATCATGTAATGAAGACATCATCTTTTAAATTTTATAAGTTAGTAAGGAAGCTGTTTCTTTTACAATACAAACCACCACCAAAAATTTTCATGTACATATGTATTGTTTAAGTATTTGGCTATGTTTTTGTTTTTTAAAAGGTATAAACACCAGGGACCAGCAGTTAGTATAATGGCTATGTCGCTGGACTCCCATGTAGTCAACCGCGTTTTGAGTCCTGGACCTGGTGGCTTAAACTCAAGCTGGGTGTGTGTGTGTGCGTGCTCAAGATCCTGAGAGGAGAATGGAGGAGAAGGGATTGCAGTGTGGCTATCCCTCCTGGGGAGTGATTTCTCGCTTTCTGTCTCTCTATCTCTCTTTGTCTTTCTGGCGAGCGGATGCGTCCTATAGCAAAAACCCCTCCAAAAAAGAAAAAGAAAAAAAAAGTTATAAACTCCGGAAAGAAAATTTAACATTGTATGAAGATGGAAACAAGTTGTACTTTCTGTGACTTTGTTTAAGTATTTTAAGTTACTAACTTCCGAAATCCAATTTGAACTGAATTTAGTACAGGATTTCGTACTAGTACAGTTATATGGCTTATTTTACATATGTATGTATTAACCAGTGGCCTCTCACTTTAGGTACTGAAAATGAAAAGAAAATGTATCTTCAAACATATTTTATGGAATCTCTCACCACATATACTTGTGAGATTTTTGTATCGTAGGGCTTTTGTTTTGTATTTTTCTATTGTATATGAATTTTGTTTTTAACGTGACAGTTATATGCATCTCTAAAAGCATGGTCGCAGACTAAAACACACAGTGTGTAATGATTTCCCTGAAAACTCCTGCAATGTTAAATTTGGAGGCAGCTTCAGACTATTACATTGGTGGTAACTACTCACTGAGCTTTTTAAATGGGTAATAAATCCAGAGAAGCAGCCTGTGTATATTCCTAACACTTTGTTCACTTGCCTTTAAGTTTAGAATAAGCCCCAAGTAAAACAATGGAAATGTATATAGAACTATTAGTTCTTTCATGATTTAATTATATCAAGATACATGTATTTAACTTTAACTTTTCTGTAGGCAAACTATCCATCTTTGTCCATTTTATTGTGTGTTAAAATAACATCCCTCTCCTACATTCTTTTCTTGACCCAAATGAAATATTAACCTAAGGTCAAGGTGGGAGAGAAAAACGACTGAGATGAATGTCTTTACTAAAATACTAATAAAAATATCAAACTAAAGAAAAAATGTATATACTCTTAATACTTATAGGCTGAATTGTATATATTATACAGGTAGAATCCTAATTTTATAATGTCTAGCTCTATATAATAAAATTATTCCTGTTTCCTATGAGATAGGCTCATCTGATAAACAAATTTTAAATTATTTAAAGGAAAACTTCTATATAATGGAATTTTTCCTCAAGCCTCCTTCTCTTGTCAGTCTTTTTACTGTAGTACTTATGTTTAGAAATTATAATTTCATATAGTATTTATATTTAGAAAATTTATTTGACTACATGTACAGCTTAAAATATAAATAAAATATAATGTGCTTTTCTAAATACTATGTTGGTAATTTGAGAAGAGTTTATTTTTTCCAGGGAGCGAATATTTTCTTTAGAAATTAAAGGCGGCTTCCTGTTTTAGAATTTTCCCCTTCAGTCAGTCCTAATGCTTTTAAGTAATGACCAAGGCATAATTATGAATGTCATTAGGAATCCTTCAAGCTAGAATAATTTAGAATCTTTTTGAAGAGGTGTGTGGTGTTGAAAAAGTGTCAATGAATGGAGAGGTCAGGCCAGACAGAGTTAAATGAATTTTAAGTTGTAAATTCAGGAAGCTATTTTGTGACTTGGAATTTATAAGCTTTGAGTTGGTATTTGTATAATACAGATTAAGAACACGAAGTAATTTAGGATAACTTTCAGTTGCTTAGGCAGACCTTTTGGAAGGTATTTTTGAAAAGTACACATATTTGATAACTGACATGATATTTATTTTTAGTAATGATTGGCAATGGCTTCAAAATAACTTGTTTACTTAAAAAAAAAGCATTTCCTTCTGTATAGAGTCACAGATTTCTTGAAGACATGATGACAGGGTCTTGATTATTAAAGAGAAGAGAATTAGTAGATAGCCTTGTGAATGATCATATACCACACAGTCAGCTGCTATTTAAAAATATTTTGGTTCCTTTTTAAAAAGCAGTGATCAATATTCTTCAATCATAGTCCATTTCCACTTAAAAATTATGTGCATATGTAACTTACATTTGAAAAAGACAGCTGTTGCGTTGTTGAAAAAGTCATGATGCATTTTGGCATAGAAAAACATGTCATGACTTTCCTGACAACCTAGTAGTTTATAAAATCACAATGAATTATCAAAACTTTATTACTTGAATTTCCAAATTTTATTAAGATCTTTTAGGTATTACACTTAAATGCATTATGGCAAATGGGAAAACATAGTTTGGTTCCTTTGGTTACTCTCAAAAAGGATACTGTTTTATGTATTTTCCTCATCTTATATCTATTGTCTGAAGAACTTTGTGTGAATAGGTTCAAATAGGGTGTACCTTTACATCTATCCAGTGTCATTGTGAGAATTTAACAATGGACTTCTGTTTTAATGAACTTTGAAAGTAGTAGAGCAATTTTGGTGATTTTTTTTTTGACCTTCCCTAAAAGAAAGAAAGAAAAAAAGCAATTTCTTTTTCTCTTTTTGGCCATATTTATGCCTTATTGTTTTTAAAGATCTTAACAGTGGAAGTGCAGGTTGTGATCAAGAGAAGAGCAGAAGCAAAAATGTAACATGTTCTGATTCAAAAATGAAACCTGCTCAGATTTCCAGGAAGACAAAGAAAAGGCCTAGAAATAATTTACCTGATTCTCCTCATTCTACTTCTTTGGATAAGGCTACAGAACAGACAGTAAGTAGAGGTGTTTACATGCGATGGAAAATAATTCTGTGCTATGATAACCCTGAGATGTTTGGGGCCAGGCAGAGTTAAATGAATTTTTAGTTGTGAATTCAGTGTTCTCCTAGCTTACTCCTTTTGTTATCAGATTCATCTCTCCCTCCCTCCCTCTCTCCCTCCCCCTTCCTTCCTTTCTTTCCTTCCTCCCTCCCTCCCTCCCTCCCTCTCGTTCATCCGTTCTCTGGTTTGGTTACCTATTAGCATTGTTTTAAATGAAAATATTTTAAATGTAACTTTTTTTAGTAATACAGAGTTATTGAAACAAATGTATTATGAATGACCTGAAAAGTTAAAGTTGCTCCTTCTCCAATATCATTCCTTTTTTAATACCTTGGTGTACATTCTTTAGACTTTTTTAGCCAAATACTATTCATACCCTGCAGTCACTTGCTTTTTCATTTTCTCTGGAAAATTTTTATCATGTTTCTTTCTTTCTTTCTTTTTCTTTTTTTTTTTTTTTTGGTAGCAATTTTTTTAAGCAAATTCTTTTTTTTTTTTTTTTTGAGAGGTTTTTGCTATAGGGCGCATGCGTTCTCCAGAGAGACAGAAAGTGAGAAATCATCCCCCAGGAGAGTTGGCCATGCTGCAGTCTCTTCTCCTCCATTCTCCTCTCGGGATCTTGGGCACGTACGCACATGTGTCTAGCATAAGTTTAAGCCACTGGGTCCAGGACTCGAACCATGGTCAACTATGTGGGAGTCCAATGACATAGCCGTTATGCCAATTGCTGGTCCCTACTTAGCAAATTCTTTAAGCTTCAGTTTGTTCATAGTTTAGAGAATCTTTTTTAAGTAAAGAATTACCATACTAATATATACATTACTTATTTTCAAAGACTTAAATAGTTAGCAAGAAAAACAGTAAAACTGTAAGACAGCTATTTTATTTTGATTCACAAGACATTTCAGGACTTTATAGTGCCTTTGGATTATAATTGTAAACATTATTTAGACTTTTATAGTAATAATGATGTTAAAAGGAATAATTGAGTCTCATAATTTTTCATATCATTTTCCTAAATTTAAAATATTTGCTTTTGTTACTAGTTAGTTGGTCACATAGTCTTGTTCCATTTGCAAAATAGCAATGTTAAAAAAAATCCTCTCATTTAAATTTTTTTTTTTTTTGAGAGATTTTCACTGTAGGGCGCGTGCGCTCGCCAGACAGACAGAGAGAGACATAGAGACAGAAAGCGAGAAATCACCCCCCAGGGGGGATGGTCACGCTGCAATCCCTTCTCCTCCATTCTCCTCTCGGGATCTTGGGCACGCACGCACACGTGCACAGCGTGAGTTTTAAGCCACCGGGTCCGGGACACGAACCGCGGTCGACTACGTGGGAGTCCAGCGACATAGCCATTACGCTAACTGCTGGTTCCCTTCTCATTTAAATTTGACTTAGATCATGGGAAACTTCTTGTAAAAAGAGGAGTCTCCCTATTTCAACAATTAAAAAGTTGTGTAGACATCAGAATGATCAGATGAAGCCCTATGTATTTATACTTGGGAGACCCTGGCAAGTCTAATAGAGTAAAATTGTGTACTTTTATATATCCAGGTAGATACAGAAATGATACAAGTTTTTACTTTTGTATTACGCTGTAGGTGGTTAAACCTTTAAAAAGTGCCTTTAGCAATCCAAATTTGAAAAATACTAATTTGTCTATGCACTTATTTATGTTCAGGAAGAACAAGAAAATGGTCCAACAGTATCTGTTGAATTTGAAAAGTCAAGTGAAAACTATTATCAAGACCCAACACTGCCTGAAGAAATGGTACCTAAACCAATGGAAAGCGATTTTACCAAACTGTCCCCACTTAATAGTCAGGATTTGTCTTTGAGTGATGCCCCCCAAAGTGCCTCCATCTCTTCAACCCCTGAAGCTTTCCAGAGCTCTGTTTCCAATGATACTGTGGGAGTTTCTTCCCTGGCAGACAAGGGTGAGAATGAATTGAATATGATAGAAAAACCCGTTGTAAGTGGACACAGTGAAGGGAACCAATCATTAATCTCAGCTGAACCAAGTAAGTCATAGGATTATAAATGCACTCAATTTTCTTTGCTTTCCTTTGTTTTTTTTTTTTTCTCCTATTGAACACAGTTTTTGCTAAGGTGATAAGCTATCTGTGACATCACTGTGGACACATTTTATATAACTAGCGTAAATCAGGTAGTGAAAGGACAGTTTCTAAATTGAAAAAGTTTTGATGATAAATTTAGTGGTATTATTAAAGATATATTGAATGATTAGAAAGCTCTCTTTTTAATATGCAGTTATTGTGACACACTTAAAATACATTTTTCCTTTTTAGTAATTGTTTCCAGTGATGAAGAAGGACCTGTTGAACGTAGAAGTACAGAAAATTTAAAATTACAAGCTAAGGAAGACCATGAGATCACTAATAAAAATGAGAGTACTTCTGAATCAGCATTGTCAGAGCTACCAGTGGTTACCTGTGAATCTGCCCAGGTAGTTTATTCTTACCTTTTCACAGATTAACAGTGAAATGTATACTATTGGCTAATTACTTTTACTTGTTTTATGAAGTAAGATGTAATCACAGTTAAAATTTTCTTAGTTTAGATTTCGAGACAACTTTCATTTTAGTTTGAGTGAAATGTGTAATTGTATTCATTTTGAAATGAAAGGATTATACTTTTTTTTTTGCTTATTTATATTTTTCAGTCTAACTATTCTATGACTTGAATTTTTTTCTGTTTTAAAAATTTTTTTTGAGAGATTTTTGCTATAGAGTGTGTGCATTCACTGAAGAGACAGAGAGAGAGACAGACAGAACGTGAGAAATCATCCCCGAGGGGGGATGGCTGCACCACAATTCTCCATTTTCCTCTCAGGATTTTGGGTATGCACACACACGTGCCTGGTATGAGTTTTAAGCCTCTGGGTTCAGGGCTCGAGCTGTGGTCGACTACATGGGCGTCTAGCTATGTAACTGTTATGCCATCTGCTGGTCCCAGTTTTTAAACTTTTTAATTTTTTTTAAAAACAGGTTTATGCCTTAGGGCATATATGCTTGCCGAAGAAAGAGAGACAGAGGCAGTGAGAGGTTAAATGAGAAATCCTCAGGGGGATGGTCATGCCGCAATCCCTTCTCCTCTATTCTTTTCCATCTTCCTCCTAGGATCTTGGGCACGCGTGCATATGCACCCAGTGTGAATTTCAAACCACCAGATCCTAGTCTTAAACCATAGTTAGCCATGTGCCATGTGGGAGTCTAGTGATGTAACCAGTACACCATCTATTTGCTGCTTCTTTTTGAACATTTGACTATTTTATCAAAATATTTTGTGGAGTTAAATACAATTTCTAGTGTTTATCTGTCTAGTCTTCAAGTATTACGGTTACTTGGAATTATTTCTTCTCCTAACCTACCATGAAGGCAGAATGATACAGAAGAAAGAACATGGCTTTTGGAGATATACAAACCTGTGTTCAAATTCTGGCTCTGCTGTTTGGACAAGTCACTTAACTTCTTGAAACATAAGTTTTTTGAATGTTAAATGAGGATAATAGCCTCTACCTCACAATATTATTTTGATTATTAAATGAAACATGTGGAAGCATTTATAGAGTGTCAAAAACCTATCAGATTTGGAAAGTCCTTTGTTTTTTCCTTCTTACAGAAAATAATAAATGTGTGTCATCCAGTCATGTTTGATATGGTACTTTGAAGAATGTAGGTCTACAGTAAGAGTCACATAATTTATTGTCAGTTTTCTTTTATGTTATCAGCCTCTGATTATTCTAAGAAATGATTGTCAATGAGTACTGCTGAATCATGTTAAATTTTGTTGGTTTGTTTTTGAAAAATGTAACCATTTTGCAGAGTATGACAAAGAGTTTGGTCAGATTTATCAAAACAGTTTGATGATCTGATTGCTTCATAGATACTTCTTTTACATTTGGTATTCTGCACAGGGATCACTTTAGCAGCTCTGTCCTGACTTTTCACTGAAATGTAACCACTCTTGCCAGATTGGATCAGTAGCCTACTTGATGACTTAAATGTATTTGAAATGAAGGGCGTCATTGTTGATAATGAGTTTAAACTTATACACAAATTAGAGTTACTTTGGTGGCAAATAAATTGACACTGTGGTGTGAAGTGATCGTATCAATAAGAAAATAACATCTCATGTAGACTTCACAAAATTCATGACCATAATTACGCAGCAAGTAGGTGGCGACCTACCAAGGTACATAACGCAGAATACCATAATTCCATGTTCTTCCTTGTTTCCGGTATTAAAGAAGTTTTAAGAAGTATGGATTGATCATTTTAGGAGGCAGTTAGTCTTTACAAAATGGGAGGCCTAATAAGAAATTATTTCTATGCCAATTTCTCATTTTAGGACTAGAAAAAAAATCAAAAGATATTTGACTCATTGGAGCAACAAGTAGTTGATTTAATGCCCCCTTTTTTACTTAGGGATAAGAAGATAGTATAATAATAAAAGATGAGAATGACAAATTCTATTAAGCAGGTAAATGGCGTTGTGTATTGTATATGTTTTAGATGAGGATTATCATATTTGGTAGAGATGGGAAGGGAGTGAATACACATGCATAATACAGGTTGAGTATCCCTTATTTGAAATGCTTTGGATCAGACGTATTTCAGATTTCAGATAGTTTTGGATTTTGGAATATTTGTACATACACCATCATACACCTTGGGGATGGGATCCAAGTCTAAGCACAGTATTCACTTATGTTTTATATTCCCCTCTAATACTGCCTGAAGGTGATTTTATACAATATTTTGGTAGTACAGTGTCTTTACTGCAACTGGCACGTGAGATCAGGTGTGGAATTTTCTACTTGTGGTGTCATGTCAGTGCTCAAAAAGTTTAAGATTTTGGAGCAGTTTGGATTTTGGGTTTTCAGATTAGGGATGCTCAATCAGTTGATAGTTCTAATGGCAATTTATTTGTCCATTGGTGATGTTAGGGTTAAAGTGGGATAATATGCAAAGGCTAGGCAAATGTGGAATTTGAAAAAGTTGTCTGAAAACAGTGTAAAGTTCAGAAGAGATTGTGGAAAACAGCTGCTACTGATATTGCCTGAGTGTATTGTAACTTAAAAGCAGAGAATTATATAATTTGAGTAGAAATGGTACGGTTTTTGAGGTTTTAGGCAACTAAGAGTCATTTCTGATAGACTAAGCATATAGATTGGATGTGACAGATGACTCTTAGGCACTTATATACCTTTATTGCTCATTCATAGTGTGATAGCAAAACATTATCTTGGTTAATGGAAGCAGTTTTATGTGGCTGAAGAAATCCTTAGCCTGAAGACAGAAACATGGGTTTGAATGTTAGTTTTGTTTCTTATTAACTGCATGACCTTAGGCAAGTTACTTAATCTATCCAAACATCTATTAACTTTATTTTTGAATTAAGAATAAACCCCTCTGGTTTGGTAGTTGTATAGATTAAAAGAGATTATATATATAAAAACTCATTTAAAACTTAATTAGTTGTCTACATGTATTTCTGTTAAGTTAAAAGTGAATAAAACTTATTAGAGTATATCAAATTTGAAACCATGGCTTCAATATAGAGGAATATGTATCTTTGGAGCTTGAGTCTGTAGAATTGGTTTGAGATTTGGCTAGAGTAATTTTCTCAAGGTAAATAATATACTTTTTCAGAAAAAATAATCTAGGTAACTATTGCTTTACAGCAAGAACAGTATACACTCCTTCACAAATTTGTTAATAGTAATTTAAGAATTTGACTATTTGAGTATTTATGTAATATTGACTGTTATATGCATTTTATAATTTATTCCTTCTCAGGCATCATCTGAATTATGTTCATATAATCCTGTTATGGAAAACATTTCCCGTATTATGCCTTGTAATGATAAGGATCTACAACTAGATTTTATATTTACTTCTGTTTATATTGGTAAAGTAAAAGGAGCTTCTAAAGGTTGTGTTACAGTAAGTATATGTTAATATTTTTTAAAAATTTTGGTCTTGGACAAGGTTTTTTTCTTTTTTCTTTAGAGGGAGATATTTTTGCCATAGAGCATATGTGTTTACCAGAGAGACAGAGAGAGACAGAGAGACAGAAAGTGAGAGATCACCTCCTGTAGGGGATGGCCATACCATAGTCCCTTCTCTTCCATTCTCCTCTTGGGATCTTGGGCACGTGCACATACAGCCCAGTGTGAGTTTCCAGCTGCCTAGTCTGGGACTCAGAGTGCAGATGACCACATGGGAGTCCAGTGGTGTAACCATTACACCATCTTCTAGTCCCCACACTTTTCTTTTTCTTTTTTTTTGATGCAAGTGAAAATAGAGTTGGGATTAATTTTATAAGGGACATTTTAGATATGTTGAAAGTCATTATGTTTACTTAGAAACATATTTTTGATTCCCCTGTCTCATCTGACTGCTATAATGAAAAGTCATTTAAAAAAAATTGTACTGACATCTAGTGTGCTCTAAAAGTTATTTTTTGATAAAGTATATATCTTTTTAGGGTATAGTTTGGAACACACAGAAATGTTTGGCTGGTTTAAATTGTTCTAAACTGACTTTTCCAAATTCCTAAGCCTGTCATGTAAAGATGTCCAGGAACTAGTCCTAATCAGTCTTTTTACTTTTTTTCTGCAGTCTTCCTCACACTGTTGGATTGTCGAAAAAATCATAATGTGTTTTTGCATAGAAAAAGATAGGAAAAAATAGATCGTGTCTTTTCTTACAATCCAGTATATATGAAGGGCAGACTGGATTTTTTTTAAAAGAATTATTTTATTTAACCTTATTTACTTATTTATTTTAATTTGACCAGAGAGAGACAGAGTGAGAGAGAGAGAGAAAGGGAAAGTGAGAAAGCTGACTAGACAGACAGGAGAGGTAGAGGGAAAAAGTGCTCCCCAATGAGGCTGTCATGCTGTAGTCTCTTCCCCTCCCCGTCTTTATCTTGTCAAGATTTTGGGCACACATGCATACGCACCTGTAGTGTTTTTCAAGCCCCTGAGGTGGGAGTTAAACTGCAGTCAGACATGTGGGATCTAGTTCTAATGTCCAGTGCTTACCCACTGTGCTATGTGGTTGGTCCCAACTTTATTTATTTTTTAATTGCCAGAGAGAATTAGGAGAAAGTACCCTCCAGTGGAGCATGGTCATGTTGCAGTCCTTTCTCCGTTTTTTTCTTTCTCTTTTTTTTTTTTTATCCTGTTGAGATCGGAGCATACGTGCACTTGCACTTGGTATGTTTTTAAAGCCACTAGGGCCGGGATTCAAACCATGCAGCTGGCCATGTGGGATCCAGCTCCTTTAACCACGAGGCTATACAGCTGGTCCTCCAACTTTATTCTGATGTTAAAACAGATATGGTATGATTTCTTAGAACTGAGTTTACCTTACTGCCACAAAAAACATTTTTCTTATTTTCTTAACTAGGTTCTAAATTTTTGTTGGGAATAGGGTTTTATCCTTTGGAGATAAAACATTTTGGTGTAGTCATCATTCAGACGTGTGAATGGATATCAGATCCTTGTCAAATTGAAAATTTGACTGAACAAGAATTTATTACGGGTGGGAAGTGCAGTATAGAAAGTGCCCTGCTTCTACGTTGTAGTTCTGTAGTAATGGCTATATAAACTCTGTAGATGCTTTATGTTCATTCTATAGGATCAGTTATTTATATTTGCTAAGATACATCTTATGAGATCAAAGACTCAGTGAAATGTACCAGAAAGAATTTAGAAAGAGAAATGATCAATGTAAACATTTATAGCAATTACATAACAGTGAGGTGTCTTTGTTTAAATTAGATGATACTCTTATTCAGATACTAGTGTCTAAAGATAATAGCTCCCCTTAATTAAGGACCTTATCATAGTTTGAGAAAGGCTCAGTAAGTAACCTGAGTGAATTTACTTGCTTTTTGTTTGTGGAAGTGATAGAGACGAGAGAGACAGGATGCGAACCAAACTCAGCTTTTAGCAAATATACCTGATTGCCTCACATTTTGCTTTAGTGTCCAACTTACTCTGTGGAATATGAGTTTTATATTTGTGAAAAGACAATATGAAATAATTTATAGAATAAATGGAGTCAAAGTGAACCTGTAGTTTCAGTGAGCACTGCTACCCGTATTGAACTTTTATATCAAGACCATCTTTATTTTGTTTTGTGCTTGCAGACTATACCCCTGAAATGGCGAAAAATTCATAAATCTGTTGATAAGAAGAAAAGCTTAACTGAATAATAAATACTGAGTTGTTGGAAAATTCATGACTCATTTTTGCATAGAAAAACATAGAAACAATATGTCATGACTTTTCTGACAACTCAATAAATAGGCACACATTCACTTGGCATTGATGGAAAAACAAATTTGAAAGCATAACCTTCTTGAGAGTTTATGATAAAAGCAGTGCTTAAGGAGGTCAGGTTTGTATCTCTAGATATAAAAGGTATCTAGAGAAAATACCTTTCCTGAGGCAGAAAAAGCTAGGATATCAGTAGGAACGGAATTCCTAATATGGAGCAAAATGAGATGAACACTGGAGATGAAAGAGTTGGAAGTGCACCTGTACATGTCATCCAGGGGAGAAGGTGTTCTAGCTTAGGGACTTCGTATGAATGTGAAGGTATATAGAGTAAATATTAGGTTGTTGGGAAAATCTTGATGCATTTTTCTATGCACAAAGGAGTCATGCCTTTCTGGACAACCCAATATATAGATAGCCCTAATTGGGAAACATTAATAAATTATGTCATTGGGACCAGCATATGGCGTAATGGTTAAGTTGTTAGACTCCCCACATGGCCGATGCCTACGTCCCAGACCAGCGGCTTGAAACTCATGATATGCACATGTATGTGCTGGCCCAAAATCCTGAGAGAAAAATAGAGGAGAAGGGATTGCAGTGTGGCCAACCCTCCTGAGAGGTGATTTCTCGCTTTCTGTCTCTCTGTCTCTCCAGCGAGTGCATGTTCTCGATGGAAAAAAAGTATCTCTCTCTGAAAAATAGAATAAACTATGTTATCTTTATTTATTTATTTATTTATTTATTTATTTATTTATTTATTTATTTATTTTTGGAGAGGTTTTCGCTATAGGGCGTGTGTGCTCGCCAGACAGACAGAGACAGAGAGACAGGAAGCGAGAAATCACCCCCCAGAGGGGATGGCCACACTGCAGTCTCTTCTCCTCCATTCTCCTCTCGGGATCTTGGGCACACACGCACATGCGCCTGGTGTGAGTTTTAAGCCACCGGGTCCGGGATGTGAACCGTGGTCGACTATGTGAGAGTCCAGCGACATAGCCATTACACTAACTGCTGGTCCCTGTATGTTATCATTTTTGAAAAATGAATCACTGTTGTGACATTTGATCCATTATACTTTTGTAGCCGTTTAAATTGAACAACTAATATTTCTAATTCTCTTTTCATGTAGTAAGTAACCTTTTGATAATAATTGTTATTTTTTCCACAGAAACAGGGTGTTCATACTGGGTAGGATACATGATAAGACTTTGTTTTTTTAAGAATTATTTTGTTTAACTTTATTCATTTATTTATATTTGACTAGAGAGGGACAGAGAGAGAGAGAGACAGAGAATGAGAGAGAGAGAGAAAAAGTGAGAAAGCAGGCCATCAGGTCCAGGACTCAAACAGTGGTCAAACATGTGGGAGTCCAGCGCCCTTAACCACCATGCCACCTGCTGATCCTGAGACTTTTGACAGTTTAAATTTCTCATTATAAATAATATAGTACTTTGGCATTGTGTTTTGTTCATCCATACCTTGTGAGTTTGTAAGTGTTAAAGTTCATCTCTAAAATGAATGATCATCAGTTTCTGAGTCAGCGAAGTAAAAAATAAAACTTGGTTTTGTGGTATGTTTACCAGAGCCATTGTTATCTTGTCAGGCCTCTTGGCAGTTCCTTCTGGACGTTGTCTGATTTCTACTTTAAATTTTCAGAAAACATTTTTGAAAAATATATTATGTAAAGTGTTGTTGGTTTTTTATAAATGAGCATGTTGAGAGTTAAATTACTTTATAGGGTTCTTATGCTTCCATAAAACTAAGTATTTATGGTAAAACGTTTTCTTGGTTTATTGATGAAAAAGTCTTGAGCTCTTGTAGTGTAGACTTTAGAAATGTACTTATGGTTTGAAAGAAAAAAATTAAAATTTGAATAGTCACATATTTTGTGTCGTTAACTCGTTTTTTTGCTTTTTTTATTTTTGCTTTAGTTCACAACAAAATATGTTAAGATCCCATTTCAAGGTAAGTTATTATTGTCTTATGACAACCTCTTTTCTGTAATTTTGAGTATAAAATAATTGGTCAGTAAAAATTCTGAAATCCTTTTGCAACCAGTTTTCTATAATTTTTTTTCCAACAGTTCCAAAGGGAATTAAAATGTTTTATGATGCTGAGAATAGTGTACTGTTGTTTAATGACTTAAATCAATAATATTAAAAGACTCATGGTGACTTTATGGGACTAACAGTTTTATAGATAATGTGAATATTTCCAGAATATATACAAATAGATAAAAATAAGAACTATGAGGAAAGACTCATAATGAAAAATTTTAACATTTTACATAAACATGCATAGAAACCAAGATTTCTCTACCATTTCTTAACTGATTAAGGCAAGATATACTGGAAAATGCAGTATACTTCCTTAAGAGAGACTTAGAGAGACTCAAAACATTTTCTCCTTCTCTTCCTAGCTAAAACCTTTCAGAATTGGGACCAGCAGATAGTGTAATGGTTACAGTGCTGGACTCTCACGTAGCCCACTGTGGTTCGACTCCTGGACCCAGTGACTTAAAACTTATGCTGGACACGTGTGTATGCATGCCAAATATCCCAAGAAGAGAAATGAAGGAGAAGGGATTGCAGTGTGGCCATCTTCCCTGGGGGGTGATTTCTCGCTTTCTGTCTCTCTGTCTCTCCAACGAGCACACATGCTCTATAGCAAAAATCTCTCTCTCTTAAAACGAATTTCAGAATTAATGACATTAACAAAAGAAATAATGAACAATAGAGCACAATCACTTTAGAGAACAAATTATAAAAAGAACAACGATGAAAAGTAAACATACAACTAGTAGGAGTGCATACTTCAGGTATAAACTAGGTGAAGCATCTGCTCCAGGGTGAAAGATGTGACCAAAGGAACTTCAGTTGGATTCCCCAGACACCCCATGTACAGAATCCAACACCATGTTACAATAGTGGATCTGTTAGTTAGATTGCCTCTGAAGTATGAATATAAAGGTATAGAGTAAATATATTGATAGTTCTAATTAGGAAGTATTATTAAACTATTAAACAATAATATAGTATTAGATATTTAGAAGAAACAAACATGTAATTTTTAAAGGACGAAATAATTTCTGACAAGATAGTGCTACAATTTGTAGATAAAGGCCTGGGTGACAGAGCACTACTTCTCATACTCCTATGATACAAACATCAAAAGTGATATTTTAGATTTTCTTAGTATTTGTCCTTTTTTTCAAATATTGTTTTCTTATCATTTTGCTATACTAAATGACTTTTAAAAGGCAATTTTAATTATATGTTGTGGAAAAATGCTTTTTCATTGGTGTTAGGTTTAATATTTCATAATGGAAGAGGAAAAAAAAATTTTTTCCTCCAAATCTTACCTCTCTAAGTTCTCATATACAAAAATATTTTTAAAAGAGAGTATCTGTATAAAACGTTTTTGGAGATGGGAACCTACAGGTCTTAATGTGTCCTCTTTTTCCATGAAGCTGAGGAAAACTTTTTAAAATCTTATTTATATTATTAATTATGTTTAGCTGTTATTAGCAGTGGCTTAAAAAACACAGCTTATTTTCTCTCTCATAGAAGAAACCCACAGATAGGCTGAACTGATGTGATATTTCCTTGATCATCAGGGCCCAAGCTCTTTTTTTCCTACTCTGTCATCTCCGACGCATAACTTTCATCTTCAAGTGTGTTTCATGGCTGATATAACTGTTCACCTCCATTGTCATGTTAGTGATTCAGTCAGAATGTCAGAGGAAAAGGAAAATGGTAGAAAGGGCATGTACTACTATCTCCCTTCTGGCAAAGACTCTCTTCTAAGGAATCTTTTTTGCTGTGCATGCCACCGAATTTCTACTTAACATTAAAAAAAAATGGTGTGTGTGCATGTATGTATGTATGTGGTTTTTTTAAACAGGGTCCCTCTGTTTCTTGATCCTCCTGCCTCAGCCTTCTGAGGAGCTGAGTCTACAGGTATATGTCACCACTCCTGGCTTTTTGAGGTGGACTCGGAATTGAACCTAGGCCTTCCTTGTGGCCTCTGTCTGCTAGCCAGCAGAGTCCAGTTGTGTTGCCATGACTGGGCCTTACTTAATTTTATTAGCTAACTTAATTAATGACCACACACCTATTTGCAAAAAAGGAAACTAGAAAATAAAGTTTTTAAAAGGTGGGTATCAGGGCCAGCAGGTGGCATAGTGGTTAAGCACTGGGCTCTCATGTGGCTGACTGCGGTTCGAGTCCTAGACCTGGTGGCTTGAAACTCGCACCGGGTGCATGTGTGTGTTGCCCAGAGTCCCAAGAGGAGAATGGAGGAGAAGGGATTGCACCATGACTATCCCCCCTGGGAGGGTGATTTCTCACTTTCTGTGTCTCTGGTGAGAGCACACACCCTATAGCAAAAATTTCAAAAATCAAAGCAAAACAAAACAAAAAAAACTATGTCTTGCCTCCCTGAATAAAATTAAGATTTTGTTACTGAAGGAGGAGGAATGGAAGTGTGGGTAGGCAGATCCCTTTTTCAATATTGGCCATACTCTTGTAACAGCATAAGCTACATTGGTGACAAATTTGGTAATGAGGTGTAAATTTTCCTCATGATGGTGTTAAAGTCCTCTCTTTAACAGAGAAACTTTAAAGTAGTCTTTTTATTTTTTTATTTAGACAAGAAGGCATTTTATTTATTTTTTAATTAATTTTTAAAATTATTATTCATACATTAAATTGCTATACATCATTTAGGTTGTGAAGAGACTTTACCCAGCATGATATACACCTTAGTCTTTTAAAAGAAAATTTAGCTTTCATTCTAAAAACCTGGAATAATAGGGTTGGTGCTAATTGTGTAGGTTTCGTAGAAACAGCATTGAATATGCCTATGGGCTGTGATCTGCATGAGGACGAAATGCTAAGCAGTTTTTCAGAAGGCCCTCACCCCTATTTTATATACTTTTACCTGTTTGTCTTTACTGTCAGTTTTTCACAAGTTTATTTACTTTTTCCATTGGTGAGAGAGAAACAGAGAGACAGCACTTTCCCCAGAATCCAGTGCCGTGAATCACCCCCAACCTTGGCCAGCACTGGATTGTTGGCACATGCCTACCTTCCTGGCGTACTCAGGGAGGCCTTTGGATGTGAACGTGGAACCCTTCCATGTAGATCAGCCTCACAGAGTGTACGCCCTAGCGTTGTGCTACCATCTAGCTTCTGCTGCCAGTTTTACTGACAGTTTTCAGAACGGGGTCTTTTCAGTATGAAAAATAGAATGGCTGACTTGGGAACATTACAGTGACTAAGTATTTAGATGTCCTTTGTAAAATGATTTCCGAACTTTAATGTTCATGTGAACCAGGAAGTGAGGGAGATACTACGAAACAGAGATTCTGATTCATTGTATCTAAAGTGGAGCCAGTGTTCCAGGCTGAAGACTTACACATTGAGTAGCAGTAGGAAATAATGCAGGGAGGAATAGTAAGAGATGCGTTTCAGATAGGCAACCATCTTGGGTTTATAGTTAACTGATAGTTGTATTCCTGGTTCAGCTGATTGCATTCTAACATTGGACTAAGTGATCTCAAGATTTCTTGAAATCGGAACCAGCAGTTAGCATAATGGCTATGTCACTGGACTCCCACGTAGTCGACCGCGGTTTGCATCCCGACCCAGTGGCTTAAAACTCACACTGGGCGCGTGTGTGCGTGCGTGCCCAAGATCCCGGGAGGAGAATGGAGGAGAAGGGATTGCGGTGTGGCCATGCCCCCTGGGGGGTGATTTCTCACTCTCTATCTCTCTCTGTCTGTCTGGCGAGCGCACACGCCCTATAGCAAAAAAGAAACCTCTCAAAAAAAAAAAAAAGATTTCTTGAAATCAGTTTTCTACCTTTTCTTTTTTAAATTAAAAACAAAAGAAAAACCAAACAAAAAATCCTCAGAGGAGACTTCTTTAGCTCATTAAGAGAGAAAAAGACTGATCATTTTAATTGATTACCTAGAAGTTCTGAAAAACAAAAATCTTGGAAAAATTTAAAAAGAAATAACTTTATTCAGGAACTCCTCTTATTCTTGAGAATCTCTTAAGAGTAGTTGTGTGTATAGTAGAATGAAAATGTTTTGAGAAAACAAAGTTGGGCAGAAATTGGCCTCTGTTAGCATTTCAAATCTTGGTTTATAATATTGACCAAGATAGAAAATATAATTTTCTAAGTTATGTTTAGTTTCTTACATTGATATACTTTTTTTTTTCTTTTTGTTAATGATAAGAGGATTCCTAGTGAAAAATCTCTTCAAATGAAGTTTTTATGCTATGGAAATTTAATCTCAGACTTTTCTGTATATAACTGCAATTTTGTATCAGAGACTAAATTTTACATAATTATTAGTTAATAATTTTGTAGCCCTTTCTAGTTGTAATATGATTTTGTTGCTAATAATTTGGATTGGGATATTTCGGCTAAGTTTAGTGAAGTGGACTGGATATAACTTTTGAAAAACTTTGCATATACTTCTTTTAAAGCAATATAGTGTATTAAAAAGTGTCATATAGTGCATAAGTACTGTCTTCTTAAATAGATTAATTTTAAAATTGTTGTCTTCTGTTTCAGTGTCCCTGAATGAGGTTTCTTTGCTAGTGGATACCACCCATTTGAAGCGATTTGGGTTATGGAAAAGTAAGGATGATGATCACAATAAAAGGAGCCATGCTATCCTTTTCCTCTGGGTCTCTTCAGATTATCTTCAGGAGATTCAGACCCAGTTAGAAAGTGCTATATTAAGCCAGCAATGTGAGTATAAAATGATTTCTAAATTTCAGGGAAACCTTAGAAGTCCTATAAGTAAGTAGTTTTATTCTAGAATAAAAGGAATACTTTTAAAACATCTTAAATGTTATTTACATTGAAAAAAAAAGTTCCTATACTCTTAAAAACAGAATACCTCAATTTTTAGTCAGTTATCTTTGGCTACCTTTTCTTTTGTGTTTGATAATGAACCTGACAGAATTTAAATAGTGACAAAGTTAAATAAAATGCAAAAGTTTCTACCTTCAACATTTTCTTTAGAGCCTAAAAAACAAAATTTAGTTTACTTATATATTTATGTATCATTTCTCTAAGATTGGATTAGATACTTTTCTGTAAAAAACAAAATTTAGTTTACTTATATATTTATGTATCATTTCTCTAAGATTGGATTAGATACTTTTCTGTAAAAAACAAAATTTAGTTTACTTATATATTTATGTATCATTTCTCTAAGATTGGATTAGATACTTTTCTGTAAAAAACAAAATTTAGTTTACTTATATATTTATGTATCATTTCTCTAAGATTGGATTAGATACTTTTCTGTAAAAAACAAAATTTAGTTTACTTATATATTTATGTATCATTTCTCTAAGATTGGATTAGATACTTTTCTGTAAAAAACAAAATTTAGTTTACTTATATATTTATGTATCATTTCTCTAAGATTGGATTAGATACTTTTCTGTAAAAAACAAAATTTAGTTTACTTATATATTTATGTATCATTTCTCTAAGATTGGATTAGATACTTTTCTGTAAAAAACAAAATTTAGTTTACTTATATATTTATGTATCATTTCTCTAAGATTGGATTAGATACTTTTCTGTAAAAAACAAAATTTAGTTTACTTATATATTTATGTATCATTTCTCTAAGATTGGATTAGATACTTTTCTGTAAAAAACAAAATTTAGTTTACTTATATATTTATGTATCATTTCTCTAAGATTGGATTAGATACTTTTCTGTAAAAAACAAAATTTAGTTTACTTATATATTTATGTATCATTTCTCTAAGATTGGATTAGATACTTTTCTGTAAAAAACAAAATTTAGTTTACTTATATATTTATGTATCATTTCTCTAAGATTGGATTAGATACTTTTCTGTAAAAAACAAAATTTAGTTTACTTATATATTTATGTATCATTTCTCTAAGATTGGATTAGATACTTTTCTGTAAAAAACAAAATTTAGTTTACTTATATATTTATGTATCATTTCTCTAAGATTGGATTAGATACTTTTCTGTAAAAAACAAAATTTAGTTTACTTATATATTTATGTATCATTTCTCTAAGATTGGATTAGATACTTTTCTGTAAAAAACAAAATTTAGTTTACTTATATATTTATGTATCATTTCTCTAAGATTGGATTAGATACTTTTCTGTAAAAAACAAAATTTAGTTTACTTATATATTTATGTATCATTTCTCTAAGATTGGATTAGATACTTTTCTGTAAAAAACAAAATTTAGTTTACTTATATATTTATGTATCATTTCTCTAAGATTGGGTTAGATACTTTTCTGTAAAAAACAAAATTTAGTTTACTTATATATTTATGTATCATTTCTCTAAGATTGGGTTAGATACTTTTCTGTAAAAAACAAAATTTAGTTTACTTATATATTTATGTATCATTTCTCTAAGATTGGGTTAGATACTTTTCTGTATATGTGCCTGTAACACTTATCTACATCTGTGCTCATTGAGGTGTTTTCCAACTTTGTTTAGTTTCTAACTCCTAAAGAATTCTCATTTAGAATAGGGTAAATCAATTAGTAACTTTTTTCTTACCTCTCTGATCTCTTTGCCTTCTATTCTCTACTTTCATTCATATTAAAGATGTTGAATAGTGAAATAAATTTTATACCTTTAAAGTTAGTTTTTTTTTTCTGTCCTATTTACTTCCAATGGGAAAATTCATGATTAAATAGCAAAGAAGTTAGGGGAACTCTGAAAAGCTATTTTCGATCATTATAGAGGCTGAGAATGTCATTTGAGACAACTGTTGGAACGATTGATGAGAGACAACGAAGGAAGTATTTAATTGGAATAGCTGATAGATTTGAGCTGTGGTGGAGGCTAGAGAGTAATTCATTGGTTAATTATCATTCATTCATTTATTCACTTATACATTCATTAACAGCATTTCCTAGTATTTACTAAATGCCAGGCAGTGGAAATATAGCAGTCAATACTATTGTGGAGTTTCTATTCTAGTACAGAAGAGAAATCTAAAAATTGTGAGTTGTAGTTCTAAGTTACTAATGGCCTATTTTCAGATTTTGATTTGCCTGGTTGGTTATAACCAACACAGAATACTTTGTTGGGTTTTATACCAACCCTATTTTTATTAGTAATAAAGTTATTTTAATTAGAGTCCTTTTAAAAACTAATTGTATTGATAAAATTGATTTCTTTTTTCTTTTATAGCAAAATCCAGTGAATTCATTTTCCTTGAAATACACAGTCCTATTTCACAAAGAGAAGAATTGAAATTGAAAGATATTATGACGGAAATAAGTACAGCCAAAGGAGAGTTAGAGCTTTCTTATCCATTGTCTTGGGTTCAGGCACTTCCTTTGTTTCAGAACCTCTCTTCAAAAGAAAGTTCTTTTATTCATTATTACTGTGCTTCAGCTTGCTCCTTCCCTGCTACTGCTGCTGTTGAAGAAATGAAGATGAAATCAGTTTCTCAGGTTAGCATATGATTAGTGTAATTGGAAGGAGGTGGGAAGTTCAATAAAATTTTTTTTCATTAATTATTATAAGATGCTGTTTTTTTTTTTTTTTTTTTTTTTGAGAGGTTTTCACTATAGGGCGCGTGTGCTCGCCAGACAGACAGAGAGACATAGAGACAGAAAGCAAGAAATCACCCCCCAGCGGGAATGGTCATGCTGCAATCCCCTCTCCTCCATTCTCCTCTTGGGATCTTGGGGACGCATGCACATGCACCCGGCGTGAGTTTTAACACACCGGGTCCAGGACGCGAACCGCGGTCAACTACATGGGAGTCCAGTGACATAGCCATTACGCTAACTGCTGGTCCCTATAAGATACTGTTTTGGGGCCAGCTGGTGGCATGGGGGTTAGCATAGCCGGATCCCACATAGCTACTGAGTGATTCCAGACCTGGAGGCTTGAGAAACATGCTGGTGTGTTGTGTGCATGCCCCAAATCCTGAGAGAATGGAGAAGAAAGGACCTCCCCTGCAGGGTGCTTTCTTACTTTCTCTCTGTCTCTGTCTCTCTGTCTCACATGCCCTGTAGCAAAACATAAAAAAAAAAATGCTGTTTGGTCAAGGGCATAGGAACCAACCCGAAAGGACTTCCAATGACAAGTCTGGAAAAATTTGTTTAAAAATATCAATATTGATAGCATGGGATTATAACAGAAGAACAAAATAAATATGCACTGATATAAACAGATTACTGAGGTAATGAATGAATTAATAAATGATTGATAAGGGACAGCTCTTTCTTAGAGAAGAGTTCAATTATTAATGTAAAAGAGAACTATAAAACCACCAGTAAACTGCTGTATCATTGTGGTAGGCAAGGTGTAACGATGGATGCCAAAGTTAATGTGTGAAAATTTAAGGAGAAGCAGGGTATGTGCATAATCTCAAAATCTCTCAGTCAAAATATTTATTAATCATAATAAAGTAGTAACTTTACAGTGGAGAAACCTGGCAAATATCATCTTAACCAAGTGATCATAGTTACTATTACCAATTATGAGACACATCACTGTAATGTACTCTCTCTGATGTCTTGCTGGAAAGGATATATCACTTCTGTGGTGTTCTTCCTAGTAATGTGTAATAACCTCAATCTAGTCATGAAAGCAATGAGGCAAGCTAAATTACAACGTAACTGATTAGTGCTGTTCAGAAGTATCAGAATCGCAAAAGTCAGAGTGAGGAATTATAGAATCTGAAACAGTAAAAAGATATTAGAGGACAAACTAGTGAAATCAGAATAAGTCAAAAGTAGTATAGCTCACATTAATTTCTTTTTTCAGTTTTATTTTGTAATTTGGAAGGGATGTGTGTACTCACGAGAGAGAGAGACTAGAGAGGGAGAGGGAGAAAGAGAAAAGCGCCCCAGTGGGATGTGGTCATGCTGCAGTCCTTTCTTCTCCGTTTCTCCATTCTGTCGAGATTTTGGGGTACACGTGCATATGCACCTGATGCATTTCTCAAGCTGATCAGGCTGGAGTTCAAACTGTGCAGTAAGCCACATGGGGGAAAAAACTTAAAAAAAAAAAGGAGGCCTGTAGAACCCACATTAATGTAAGATGAAGCATAAAATACACCACTGTGCTTCTTCATGCGTAATGTAAGTTTTGCTTGGCAATTATATTCAGTGTATAAGTTTATCTTTTCTATTTACTAAGAGAATATCAATTTATGTTATAAACTCAGCTCTTTAATTTTTTTTTGCTTATTTATCATATTTTGAATTTCAAACTCATTAAATTCTTAATTGAGTTCATATCTGGGACCAGCAGATGGCATAATGGTTACATTGCTGGACTCCCAAATAGGCAACTGCAATTCAAGTTCCAGACCTAGCAGCTTAAAACTCATGCCAGGCACTTGTGCATGTGTGTCCAAAATCCTAAGAGGAGAATGGAGGAGAAAGGACTGTGACATGGCCATCCCCCTGGGGGGTGATTTCTCGGTTTCTGTCTTTCTGTCTCTCCAGTGAGCGCATGTGCCTTCTAGCACAAATCTCTCTTTAAAAAAGAAAAGAGTTCATATTCGGAAATAGCATTTCAAGTTAAACTATGCCATAACATGTTTTGTATATTTTGACTACAAATATTATTGGGTCATTGGGAAAGTCATGACATGTTTTTGTATAGGAAAACATAGAAAAATATGACTTTCCTGACAACCTAATATTTTGATTTGGTTTATAGAAAGTCTAGAGCTATAGATATAACTCATTGATATGATCTCTTTTAGTCAAATTTTGGCTTACAAGTCTAGGTTTTGACTTTGTCCGTTTGAAAGTTGATATGTTATTATTTATGTATTTATAAGGAGACTTTTTCTCTTGCCGTTTTTGGTCAGCCCTCAAGTACAGATGCAGCCAAGCCTACTTACACCTTCCTGCAGAAGCAAAGTAGTGGTTGCTACTCACTTTCCATTATATCTAACCCAGATGAAGAGTGGCGAGAAGTCAGGCACACTGGACCTGTTCAGAAGTATGTACTGTGTCATATCCTGTCTGTAATAGGTGGGCATATTAGTAGTTTTCATTTATATTGCTGCTTTTAAGTAGTTTACCTTTTGAAATGTTTTGATTTTTACTTCCATATGGGTGGTTAATAATGGAAATATGTATTTTTTTAATCTAGGAGGAAGTTAGAAAATTTTATTAAGAGAATAATAGGTATCATTTAATTTTATGTTAATAAGACAGAAATAGTCAAATTAGCATATTTGGTAAGATTAAAGTACTTACTGAAATAATTTGAATAACAAAGTATGTTTTTGAAGATTACATATGCCATACTGAATGTATAATAGAAAAAAATGAAATTGCTTACCAAAAAATATGCCTCGATGTAAGGTATTTTGGAGTTTATCACAGTTCCTTGTTAGAATTTACTTCTTTGTTTATATTTCATCTTTTATTTTTCTTTTCATAGTGGTAAGCCTGAATAGGTCTGTGCATTTGAACGTGATTTTTGTACCTTCATGTGACTCTTTTTCTCTGTTTAAAATGAAGCAAAAAGCAATCAAAATTGCAGGATAGGGAAATAGACAATAATATAGAAATGATCATGTTAGCATTTAAATTTTCCAGTTCTCTTTTTTGATTTAGATGCTATGGTACAAAGATTGAGTCAATTGTGGGTGGCTCTTACGTTCTTGTACAAGAACTACACATTATTACTGATGCTATTTGCTCATTGAGTACTACCCTATCTCCTCTAAAACTGTAACCAGGCATTCACAACTGGTCAGTATGAGTGGATATCAGAAAAAAGATGCCTAATTAGTTGCCAACTATTCTCTACTACTTTCTGGTTCTGATACAATTACTCACTTTCTTTATGCTCTCTTCAATTTTACATTGTCAGCATTTTAAAAGTATTTTATTTTTCTCTTTTTATTGACATAAAATAATTGTACATATTTTGGGAGTTCGATATGATTTTTCAGTACAAGAATACCACGTAATAATTAAATGAGGGTAATTAGCATCTCATCATCTTAACCATGTGTCATTACTTTGCGTTGAGAAGTTCAGAATCCCTTTTTAGTTACTCTGAGTTATATAATAAATTGTTAATGCTATTTATCCTACTGTATTTTACAACACTAGAAATTGATCCTCTTATCTCTCTAATTTCATTTAAGCACTTTCTTGTGGGAAACGTGCCTCATAAGCTCTTCTGTATTTCTTTATTGTCCAGCAGCTGATACCGACTAGCCCCCCAGCTGGAGAGAGCATAGTTTTTTTTTTTTTTTTTTTTGAGAGAGCATAGTTTTTGACTGCTATTTTTTCTGAATAGAAAGGAAGTAATTATGGGGATTTAACTTAAAATTAGAAAGTAGATCATAGGAAAATTGCTGTTTTATTATGGGAGCTTGTTGAAATGTAAAAATTATGCAGAAGTAGTACATTAGTATTGATATTATAACTGATCATGAGATAAAATCAAAACAAATATCGAGACTATTATGGATATACCAGTCTATTGAGACTAACCCATTTGGGAAGAATTGGAAAGGAAAAGATGATGCTCAGTGAGAGAAACAGTAGTAGATGTGAAAGTAAAGGTTTTTTGATTGCTATTTTTTCTGAATAGAAAGGAAGTAATTATGGGGATTTAACTTAAAATTAGAAAGTAGATCATAGGAAAATTGCTGTTTTATTATGGGAGCTTGTTGAAATGTAAAAATTATGCAGAAGTAGTACATTAGTATTGATATTATAACTGATCATGAGATAAAATCAAAACAAATATCGAGACTATTATGGATATACCAGTCTATTGAGACTAACCCATTTGGGAAGAATTGGAAAGGAAAAGATGATGCTCAGTGAGAGAAACAGTAGTAGATGTGAAAGTAAAGGAAGAAAATTACACATGTAATTACATGTGTCCTGTCAATATGTTTTTTACCCAACAGATTTTGCTATTACTTAATAGATGTCTTAGATACTGTGATTTTCAATACCAATGAATTTTAACTTTATTTTTACTTCTTAAGGTTGATTGTATATCCCCCACCACCTACTAAGGGGGGATTAGGAGTAACTAATGAAGATCTGGAATGTTTAGAAGAAGGAGAATTTCTTAATGATGTAATTATTGATTTTTACCTTAAGTAAGTAAATTCTTATTATTATTCAATGATGAATAATCTTATCATTTGTTTTACAGATTTTTCTGTGAAACTTAATCTTTTTTTAAAAAGAATTATTTAGCTTTATTTATTTTATTTGCTTATTTATTTTAATTTGACGAGAGAGAGAGAGCGGGTGAGAGAGAGCGAGCGAGAGCGAGCAAGCAAGCCACCAGGTCCGGCACTCGAACTGTGGTCGCCCATGTGGGAGTCCAGCACCCTTAACCACCACGCCACCTGCCAGCACCCGAAACTTAATCTTTATCTCTGAGGTTTTTTTAGTTTTTGTTTTTTGAGAGTTGTTTTTTTTTTTTTTTTTTTTGCCGTAGGGTATGCATGCTTGCTGGAGAGAGAGACAGAGAGACAGGAAGTGAGAAATCAGCCCCCAGGTGGGATGGCCATGCTGCAGTCTCTTCTTCTCCATTCTCTTCTCAGGGTTTTGGGCACACACATACTCCCAGTGTGAGTTTCAAGCTGCTGGATCCAGGTCTCAAACAGCAGTCTACCATGTGTGTGTCCAGCACCTTAACCACTATACTGCCTGCTGGCCCCTTTCTGTTATTTTAACTCTAGTTAAAAGTAACCTGCCAACATTTCCAGTTTAGGAAATTTTTGCCTACCAAGACTTTCTAGAGCTGACAAATTCAGTTTTTTTTTTTTTTTTTCTTTTTTAAACTGCCAGAGGTTGCATGTTCTGATTAGAGACAGAGAGAAGGAAAGAGAAGGAGTAAGCAACCCTCTAACTCTCCATGGGTATGGTCATGTCTCAGTCCCTTCTCCTCTATTTCTCTGTCCCGCTGGGATTTTGAGAACACACACACAAATGCCCAGAGTGGTTTTCAAGTCAGCAGGGTTACAGTTTGAATCACATGGTTGGCCATGTGGGATCCAGTTCCTTAAACCACTGGACTATGGGGCTGAATAATTCAGTTTCATTTCATTATTTCCTATAGATAACTATATATTTCAGAAAAGCTGCTACTTTTGTTTTGGTTTTATTGTTTGATTTATACTTCTTTGATATAAATGTTGTAGAGAAGAAAGTACTCACATCACTTTGGGATTCAAAAAGCAGCAACTCTGTTCAGTAATTTATTGTATCCTTAAGCACTATTAGAGTTGTTATGTTAATATTTATTTATTTATTTATTGCCATAAGGCGTATGTGCTCACCAGAGAGAAACAGAGGGAGGGAAAGTAAGAAATCACCTCCCAAGGGGATGGCCAAATTACAGTCCCTTCTCCTCCTAGGATTTTGGGCATGTGTGCACTTGTACCTGGCATGATGTTCAGCTAGCAGTTTTGGGGTTTGAACTGCACTCGACCATGTGGGAATCTAGTCTTAACCACCATGATACCTGCTGGTCCTGATATGAAAAGCTTTTAAAACTTTCATGCAAGTTTGTTTCTAGCCTGCATTTTGTACATCTATACCTATATTTCCAAAACCATTTCACAGATTATTCTCAAACCAAATTTATTACCATTTTACCTAAACTGTATTGTTTTACTAACAGTATCATCTTTATTCCAGTCACTCAGACTCAGAATCTCATGTTATCATTCATATTTACTAACATTGTAGATTTATCCTCTCTCTTATATATATATATAGCCAGAGAGTGCATGCACTTGCCAGATACACAGAGACACAGAGGGAGAGAGACTGTGTGTGTGTGTGTCTGTGTGTGTGTGTGTGTATGTATTTATTTCATTTGCTTGAGGACTCATGTGCTCATTGGTGGGGCTTGGGGACCGAGTGGGAGAGAAAGTGAAAAAGCACCGCCCATAGGAGATGGTCACACCACAGTGCCTTCTCCATTTCTTCTTTTGGGATTTTGGGCATGCACACATTTGTACTCAGTGTGTTTCTCAAGCCATCAGGTCTGGGACTTGAACATGCAGTTGACCATGTAGGATTCAGCCACCTTAATCACCATGCTATGGGTTGGGTCAGCTTGATTTTTTGGTTGTTGTTGTCTTTTTGTTTTGTTTTGTTTGCCACAAGGTGGATGTACTTACTGTAAAGAGCCAGAGAGATAGAGAGAAAGCATGGAATCACCCCTCCCCCCCCGTAGGGGACGATGGTCATGCTACAGTCTCTTTTCTTTAATTCTCTTAGGATTTTGGGCACACACACACACACACACACACATGAGCCCAGCATGATTTTCAAGCTGCTGGGGCTCAAACTGTTAGCTATGTGAGAGTCTAGCACTTCAACCACCATGCTATCTGCTAGCACTCCAGTGTAATGTTTTTAAATGTCTTGCATTTAAGATTTCTTAGATGAGACCAACACATTAATCCTTAGTGATGAAGGAAGTCTCTGAGTACTCTACCCAGTGTCTCATGAATTTTACAGTCTGGTTGGTAGGAGCAGGTGCTATTCTATCACTCTTGCTCTGTGAAGACTGGATATTATTATCTCCAGCTATTTCCCCAGGCTCTGGTACTTTGCTCACTCACACACATTGATCAGTATTCTGCTAAGTACTTAAAGAGGATCCTATACAGTTATCTTGAATTCTTTCTATATTGAGCTTTTTCTTTTCTAGAGTTCTGGTCTGCAAACTCCAGAAAAGCAATTGCAAGGTCATTTTCAAATGTGCATAGGCTATTAAGAATAGCAGTTTTTGGGACCAGCAGTTAACATAACTGCTATGGCTATGTCACTGGACTCCCATGTAGTCGACCATGGTTCGAGTCCTGGACGTGGTTGCTTAAAACTCATGCTGGGTGTGTGTGCATGCATGCCCAAGACTCCAAGAGGAGAATGGAGGGGAAGAGACTGCAGTGTGGCCATCCCCCATGGGGGGGTGATTTCTCGCTTTCTGTCTCTCTGTCTGTCTCTGTCTGTCTGGTGAGCGCACGTGCCCTATAGCAAAAACCTCTCAAAAAAAAAAAAAGTATAGCAGTTTTCTTTTTTGTTTGTTTGTTTTGTAGGGAGAGATTTTTACTATAGGGTGCATGCACTCACCAGAGAGACAGAAAGCGAGAAATCACCCCCCCATGGGGGATGGCCACACTGCAGTCTCTTCCCCTCCATTCTCCTCTTGGAGTCTTGGGCATGCATGCACATGCAACAGGTGTGAGGTTTTATTTATTTATTTTTTGCTATAGGTTGTGTGCACTCACCAGAGACAGAGACAGAAAGTGAGAAATCACCCCCGACGCCAAGCAGGGCATGACTACACCGCAATCCCTTCTCCATTCTCATCTTGGGACCTTGGACATGCATGCACACATGCACTCCTGGTACTGGCACGAGTTTTAAGCTGCCAGGTCTGGGCCTTGAACTATGGTCGACCATGTGGGTGTCCAGTGATGTAACCATTATGCCATCTGCTGTCTCACAAAAAGCAGTCTTGTAATTATGAAGGATTTCATCACTAAGTGATTCGATTTCAAACTTAGGTTGAAGAATCATTTTAGTATGGGAATAGACTAAGGATATAGAGATTAGTTACATCTCAGTTATTAAACTTTTTCTAGATTTTTTTTTTTGCTATAGGGTGCATGTGCTTGCCAGACAGAGAGAGACAGAGAGACAGAAAGCAAGAAATCACCCCCCAGGGGGGATGGCCACGCCACAATCTCTTCTCCTCCATTCTCCTCTTGTGATCTTGGGCACACACGTACACGTGCCCAGCGTGAGTTTAAGCCACCGGCTGGATCCAGGGCTTGAACTGCAGTTGACTACATGTGACTCCAGTGACACAGCCATCACACCATCCGCTGGTCCTCATAGTTTCAGTTTTACATTTTATCATGTAATTATTTGATTAATATTTTCTTCTACCCTCACCCCTCTGGCCTGTAAACTCTATGGGGGCAGATACTATTTTCCCCTAATATTTGTGCTATTTCTCCAGTCTAAACATTGTACTTGGCACACATTAGGAATTTGGTAAGTATTTGATAAGTAAAAGAATGAATAAGTGGCCAGTTTCTGCTTTAAATGATCTTGGTAGCAGATGAAGTAACTAAAGAGCAAACTGAAAGCCCAAATCAGAGGAGTGTGCAAGATGACCTAGAATTTAATTGGATGTAAAAGTGAAGATTTCCAGAATATATAAAATAATTAGGAAGACTGGGTAAAATCTAAAAATAATTTACTTTTGTGGCATTGCTACTTTACAGGTATCTTATATTGGAGAAGGCATCAGATGAACTTGTTGAACGAAGTCACATTTTTAGTAGCTTTTTCTATAAGTGCTTGACAAGAAAGGAAAATAATTTAACAGAAGATAATCCAAATCTTTCGTAAGTCAATTCTCCATATACTTAAGTTTTAAAAGAAATGCACTATTTTTTTCACATTTTTTAAAAAATTTATTTTTAATTATTAGTCATATGTTAAATCCCTATGCTGTTCCTAGTGACTGACTCCTTTATAGTATTTTCTAGAGTGGGGTGTATTACCACTTCTGCAGGTCCTGGATCTGTTTGCCATGAGAGCCACTTTCATCCTTCTGCTGTTCTGCTCTCTATGACAGGGAGGCAGACTCTTGCAGACTGGATTTCCAATTGCATGTCCCATAGGAGATAGTAGAAGTTGGAGAGCAGGGAAGAAAGAAACTGTGTTATTTCTTCCCTACTCTGTTTGGGCAGTAGCTGTGTTTCCTCTGTAGGTCCATCTTTTAGTAGACAGACCTCCTAGAGCTCCAGCTTCTACCTGGAGGTATTGCTTCTTTCCTTTGCCATCCACTGTAGACACTGTAGAAGTTCAGTAGTTTCCTACTGTGCTAATTTTTGATTATCTTTTTTTTTTTTTGCTTTGTACCTTTTCTAGCACGTATAGCCAATTTCCTGCATAATATTCTATCTGTTATAATGTGTGGGGTTGTTTTTGTTTTCCCTGTTGGACTTTCAGTGACATACTACTATTTAATAAAATTGATAGATTATATACAATATGATATTTGTTTGCACACCTTAGCTGAATTTCTGCCCAAGTATTTTTGAATTAGTACTCAAACATATGGAGCAGTGGATAGAGATAGGCAAAAAGAAAGTTATTATTTCTTAGATAGTTGTTGCAGCATGGAGTATTTTACCCCTGTTCTCACATCTAATAACTTATATGAGAATCTGAGTAAGCGTAAAATGAAGAGTTTTTAGTTTTTAAAAAGTTAGTGTAAGCATTTGTCACTTTATAATTAACACATTATATTTATATTATTTCACTTTTATGGTCAAAGCAGTGCTTTCATATATGTAGGCATATCAATTATATGCCAACTTTTTAGGTGAGGAAGTAGAGATGTTTTTAATCTAATAAAGATGAAATAAACAGATTAAAAACAAATAGCTAGTAAGTAACAGAACTGGTCGATACTTAATACTTATCTTTTTAATTAATTCATTAATTAATTAACTAATTAATTTACAGTCATTCACTGTACATAAATAGAGTATACACAATGAGATTTTTCATCCAGTATACATTGTATATTGGCTTAATTGAGGATATTACCATAGATGTCATCATCAATGAATAATTTTCTATTTCTTGTTTCTTATGTATTTTGCTCTCCCCCTCCTTGATTCCCTTCCTCTTACCCTCTGCCAACTCCTCCCCTTCCCCCACTGTCTGGTATGTACAGTTGTTTTCCATGCCTTTCTTTTTTTTTCACGTTTTATTGATTCACTAAAGATCTTAATTAATTTAAAGACTTTCAATAGCAAGCACAGCTGATATATACATATTTATGAACACATGTCTAACTTCAGGCGTAAACCTCAGTGAGTAAAGTGAACATCCTATAAAGTAGCACCTAGCTGGGGCTGTATAGGTTACTGCAGTCATTAAATAGGTATTAATAGGTATTTTTTAATGCATTTTTTAATTTCAAAAAAAGGTTTTAGTTCTAATAGATCAAAATTAAAAAATGTTAAGAGAAATTTACTAAAACTTAAAGCCAGGAAAAGGGTCAGGATTCAGTTCAAATAGTATGTAGATGAACCTATCAATAGTTAAAGAAAAGACAGACATCCTTAAATACAGAAATCAAAGCATCAAAGAAAATCAGTAATGCTTTAGTCTAAAGTAAAAATCTTCCGTTTCCCTAGTTCAGACTCACGCACTTAATCTCTCTTCTATTGAATTTGCAGTGTTACTGTGGTCTGATATTTCCATTTAATCTCTGGAAGTTAACATTCAATCTGGACTTATCTTTACCATTAGACTGGCCATTCTCTTGGTTGTTTCTTGTGCTCTTATTTCTGTGTGTCTGACTTTAGTTTTCCTGGTATAGCACTCTCTTTAGCACTTTTTGGAGAACTGGTCTGGTGTTGGTAAATTCTTTCAGGTTTTGTTTATCTGAGAATGTTTTTGTCTTTTTTTCCCATATGAAAGATAATCTTGCTGGATGTAGTATTCTTGGTTGACATTGTTTTTCACTTAACACTTTGAATGTATTTTCCCATTCTTTCCTTCCTTGCATTCTTTCCGATGAGAGGTCTGATGTTAGCCTTATGGGATATCCTTTGAAAGTAACTTGACATTTCTCTCTTGCCAATTTTGGTAGCTTGTCTCTGTGGTTTTGGTCAATCTGGCTATGAGTTGCCTTGGAGAAGATCTTCTTGGGTCAATTCTATGTGGAGTCCTTTGTATTTCTTGGGTCTAGATATTTGAATGCCTCTCTAGGTTTGGAAAGTTTTCTTCCAGGATTTCATGGAATAGATTATCAATGCCCTAATTAGTTTCTTCACCTTCTGCAGTACTGATGACCCAGTATTTGGGTGTTTAATAGTATCTAGTATTACTCATATGTTATTCTCATTTTGAGAGGTTATTTTCTCAGTCATTTTGATGCATTTCTCTAGGTCAGATGTTCTGTCTTCTACATATGAGATTCAGTCTTCTGCTTGATATAATCTGCTTTTGACATTTTCAAGGGAAGTTTTGATTTCCTGGTCATTACAACCTTCATTTCTTAACAATTCCATTTGATTTGTTTTTATGATGTGTATCTTCTCTATCAGATCACGTAAGAACTTCCTCACCTCCTGGAACTCAGTGTCTCTTTTCTCCTGCATCTTCAGAAGTTCATTATCTCTCTTCTCTTGCATCTCTGTTAGTTTTGTCACTATGAATATTTTGAATTTTTTTTCCTGATATTTCCATAAGTTCCCTTGTATTATTTGTGGAGGAAGAGGAGTTACTCTTTTCCCTTAGGGGAGATATATTTTCTTGGTTTCTCATATTTCTTGTACTTCTGCAGTGGTTTCTAGTCATCTGATGGATTATACGTTTTTTCCTATTTTTTGGAGTTAAATCTGAGCAATCAGGGGAATGCAGGAGGAGGTGACCTGCAGTCTGTAAACAGTACCGTTTTTCTCCCTTTGTGCAGCTGATTCAGTGAAAATTGAGGATTACTCTGACCCTAAAAGCATTCAGATATTTGGCTACTGAGCACCTAGACCTGTCTAGAAAGTCAGTGTGTGGAGGCTGAGCAGAAAAGTGAGTAAGGTAGAAAGGAAAGGAAAAAAAAAAATAGAAAAAAACCCCCCAAACAAACAAAGAAGAAAAAAAACAAGACAAAAACAATAAGAAAAAGAGAAGAAATTTTTTTTTCGTCAAAAAATGAAAACCACTCAGAACTCAAATATAGATGACTGCTGGTTGGCCTACCCTATGGGGGCAGGAGGAGAGGTAAGAATTAGAAAGAGAAAAGAGCAGTAGAGAACTAAGTTTAAAAATAGAGAGAGAGATGGAAAGAGAGAGTGTAAGTAGGGTGCTCTAACCTGGCTCTTGGCTAGACTAAAGAGCAGCAGGGTGAAGTCTGGGCAGAGAGTCTTCGGTGGTTGAAATTCCTGAATGGGGCCACACAGAACTCAAATATAGATGGCTGCTGATGGGCTTATCCTGACTCCTGGCTAGACTGGGGAGCAGAAGAGTGAAGTCTGGCAGAGGGTCTTTGGTGGTCAAAATCCTTAATACTTATCTTTTAATCTCTAGGCCATTTTTATTGTACTAGACTGCCTTAAAAGTGACCGTGAGAGTTTGTTTTATCCTCTTGAAACAATAGGAATAATAAATAAGTAACAAGATGACTAAATGGAGAAACTGCTTGAATTTGCTATTTTGTTAGAAGAGAGTAGGAATAGGAGAATAGTAATTGAGTACCTGCTTAGAACTAATACATGAACATGAACATAAAGAATCAACTCCAGTATTATTATTATTTTTGGAGAGGTTTTTGCTCTAGGGTGCATGCGCTCACCAGAAGGACAGAGAGAGAGAGAGAGAGAGAGAGAGAGAGAGAGAGACAGAAAATAAGAAATCACCCCCCCAAGGGGGATGGCCACGCCACAATCCCTTCTCCATTCTCCTCTCGGGATCTTGGGCATGCATGCACACGCACCTGGTGTGAGTTTAAGCCACCGGGTCCTGGACTCGAACCGCGGTCGGCTACATGGGAGTCCAACGACATAGCCATTATGCTAACTGTTGGTCCCAACTCCAGTATTTTTGTATGATGTGTCACTTATTTATGGAAGCTTAAAGAAGCTAGGTAAGTTATCCAGAGTTGGATTTAGCTTTCTAATTCCAAAGTTTAACTTCTGTTTATTGTCTTGTAACTATATAACTATATAATTTATGGTCTAAATTTAGACACTTGTGAGAATAACAGGAGATCTATTAATAGTTACAAGGGGTAACTATTTTGTATTGGGACTGTTCTAGACAAACTAATCAACTATATTTTGAGTGTCTATAGGTTTGGAACTCTGCTGATGGACAAGCTTTGCCAAGATCAATTAAGGAGAAAAACCATATTTGAAAATATTCCTGACAATCAGAGTTAGTGGGGTGGAATATGTGAAAGGAGAAGTTTAGTGAAATAAATTTGATATTTAACATTTATGCCTTCCTGTTTTGTTTTGTACACATAGTAGTTTGAACCATGAACTACATTTTAAGACTATTCAATGTGGAGATTAAGAATTTAGGGTATCCACGTATAGACTAAGTATATGAAAGGTATATGAAAGGTATTCTGTTGTATTAGGAAGTCTTTTAAAAATTAGATATTATGCCCCGATCATATATAAAGGTAATAAAGTTACATGAGTGGCATATTTTAGGTAAAATGGGTAAGATGCTACACACATGCGCGTGCACACACACACACACACACACACACACAGATTTACAAAATTCAGAAGCAAAGCAGCAAAGGATACAAACTTAAATGCCCAACAAATCCACAATAAAAGAATTAAACTGCCAGTTTTAGGAAACTATGGACTAAATG